GAATGTAAATTCTGGTGTATAATGCCGATTTCAAGTTAATTACTACTTGCATTTCTAAACGAGACTACAATTATAAATCCACAATAGCATGGTTTTATCATTTTGCTGCAACTTTGACTACAAATTATAGATAGGAACTGTGTGCCCACTCTGCACCACATAACCCTGTATAGTCTGCCCTATAGCTGCAAGATTCTGCTAAATGGATGCTTTTATCGTTCAATGCTAACATCTGCTAAATCACTCCATTGTTTCTTCAGCAGATGGCTTGTCACAAGGCCAGATAATAAAGATATGTTTACACTGTATATACAGCCAGACTAATGGTCTGATACCGATAGGGCCTGTTTGCTGTGTCGATACTAATTAGCCAAGGAGAGCCAATGAAAGCTTTCTAACAGACTGCATGTTAAAACATTAGGTTCATTAAGCTTCATTAGTAAGGCAGAAACAAACATCTTGGTATATGGAAAAAGTGCATTTTTATAATGTTCTTAATTATTGGATAGGCAGAATGTTTTGATCACTTCACATTTGGCTACATTTATGAATGGTTTTATTTTCTGAGGGACATTTATGCTCTTCAAAGCAAGCTAATCTTTTCAAACTGCTTTAATGTAGAGGTGGTCATGATCTGATTTATTATGATTTGGAAAACATCATCTTCGTTTATTATTTTTTCTAACAGTAAGCTTAATAAGAGGCCAAGACAAATATCAAAGAAAGACCTTACAAGAAAAAAATTACATTAGCTTTTTAATTTTATTGTATAGTATTTTATATAAACCACAACATGGTGTATAGGCTTGGACCACGCTTTTATGGTGCTAAATCTTCTACAAAATCACAGAGCTCTATATTCAGAATCACCTTTTAAAGTTGATGACAGTCTAGAGTTCTTTTAAAGATCAAGCAAATCATGTAAATTACAGAATTCTATTAGACTAAATTACAGAAATTAAAGAGCTAACAGCTCAATGCAAACATCTAGAAATACAAAATAGGCAGTTTGCAGAACACTCATTAAAAGCCAAAATTTCCAGGCAGTTTGACAGATTGACTCTAAAATTCAGTAACAAACACATAAAAGAATACTAACAGAAAAATATATACTTTATAAAAAGTTAAGTGATTTTTTGCAGTACTTGGCTCTTATGAGAAGGTTATGTTTATAGGTTTTATGTTCAGCCTTCAGACCTTCTTAAGCAAAAACAAAGCCATTAGTCTAGGCACATACGCAATTTGTGCCATAAGTCATGATCTTCAAACTCAATCCAAACAGCAATGCTAATAAAAACTAGCTGCAGAAATGCAAAAAGCACTGAGCTGTGCAAATGTAAATGACAAGCTTGCCAATCCATTAAAACTAATGGCCTGCACTGTCCAAGCATCTCTGGTTGAATTCACATGCAAATTTGTATGCAAAATGTTCAAGCACTTTTCAGGACATGATATACCGTTAATATCAACTCACATTTTTATTCTTGAGGCAAGATACCTTTATTATATAGCAGAAACACACAATGAAAGCAAATGGATTACCTTCTAGTCTACCATGCTTTCCTAAGACTTCTACCAGTGCTACATACTTTCCAGTGTCAAGAGCAACAGGTGAACTCTTTGGGAAGCTAGAAATTAAAACATTAAGAATTGCATCAACAAAAGTTCATGTTTTACGGATTTAGCTTAAAGATTTATTTTTTAAACTACATAATAAAAAACCAGCACCGAGAGCTAAAAGTTATAACAAGTATTAAAGGAAAAATCTGATAGACTTTAAAAAATGCACCACTAAAATGGGATTTTAAAAAAATTATCTACACACCTTCCCAACCCCTAAACCCAAAAGTTGTATTTTAAATAGCCAAATGGTTTAATTAATTATTTGGTAGTTATTGCATAAAATCTGGTATTTTGCAGAAGCCTGGGAAGAAAACTCAGTCCACATGGCTGGGACAGGGCTATATTCTTTTTGTTAAAGAATATGAAACTACTCGCCTATAGTAACAAGTTAAAAGCTACTATTTCAAAGTTTCTGCTATGTGTGTGTTTTCTTTTTTCTGGAAGTTTTAAAATTAATTGTCTCTGTTGTTTCTTTTTGTAATAATTCAAAGAGTCACTTCTTAGAAATATTATGCTACATTTGAGGCAGATCAGTAAAAAAGTGCTACTGCAGTGAAGCTCCACTACATGACTCAATTTTACTTCATGCAAGCTCACTTAGGGGAGTTGTGTGAGAGTGGTAGTCCAGACAAAACCCATACACTATCGTTATTTGCAGAGTGGCAAATTTCTTTATATTCATAGCTCAATCATTTCACAATTTCAAACACCAGCAAGGTGTAATGAGCACCTGCCTGCTAACCTACTGTAAAACCAAAGCAAATACTTTGTGAACACGTATGAGAGAAACTGAAACTAACACATAACTTATTCTATATTCACTGTAGCATCAGACCAAAGTGAGGTTTTCAAGGGAAAAAGGAAAGGGGTAGACAGAAAGATGATCTGTAAGAATTTGCTCCAGTATAAGTCACAGATAGCATGTTTTAGCTGGGAGCTAATTTTACAGCCAAGATACAAAGCTCTGAAAACAAACAAACAACAACAACAAAAAAAATCAAGTAGAATGCTTCTTGACAGACTTAAAATAATGTCATTCAGAAACACTTCTATTCTAAAGACAATATTGGTGCAGCATATTCTAAACACATTCTAGGTGCTTTCTAACACACGATGCAGGTACTTTTATTTCCCCTTAAATTAAGCCAGACTTATAGACACTATGTATGTTTAAAATAAAAGCAAAACAGATCCTACACAGCAATTTGCCTTTTTTTTTTAAACAAAGATAATTACTGACCATACAAAGTAGCTGCTTCTGATGTTCAATTATACAAAGCAAATTTTTTGTTAGAAAAAACCACACCCTTGACTGTTTTAAATGCACATACATTGGTGGGGGAAACTAATTAAAAATGGATGAGGGGGTTAATACTCAACCTACTTAATGCAACAAGGTCTGTGTATCAGCATAAATCTCTGTGACATGTTTCAGTGCCGGTGTACTTACACTTTTTCTTTCAGGTTCATTGCTTCTTCTACATTATCATGTCGACAGCACAGATTTATTAAGGCTGCATAGCCACCGACAACCATGTCCGGTTCATATTTGTCTTTCACTTCAAGGGCTTTTTGCATATTCTAAAAAACGAACACAGCAAAGATGTAAACTAGAGGAAAAGTCATTACAACATTACAATTCCTGTATGTTCCATGTGCAGCTACATGACTGCTTTGGTGCTTTTAGTAGTATAAGATAACATTTGAAAACACAGTGCTGTAATGCTTTAGCAAATTTTAAGAGTGAAAGTTATTTCGCAGAAATTAATATTTTCCTAAAACACCTTTTAGATGAACTTGATAGTAGACTTCTAAAGAAATTTTCTTGCTTTGAGTTTATATTGCTAGCATGTTTTTATGTAAGCCTTTTTTTTTTTAATCCTGACAGACACCATAAACATGATTAACCCAAATTCTAAAATAGTTCTTATTTATTTGGAATTCCTAACCATTTTCACCTGCTATACTGCCAAACACAACAAAACTACTTTCTAATGAATAAGAAACTACTTAATGATCCCATAGAAAGCTTATTTTTTTAATACATTCCTACTCATACATTTGACCAGTTTGAACTTACAACCAGGTTTGCTTCTAATCTTATTTCATATGCAAAACTATAAAGACAGACAGCTGAGAATCACTCTTTCTAAACTGTATTCTTAGCAATAGAGAATTGTGCTATCATCTGCACGACTGTTACCGTTCCTATACATACAGCTTTATAGGCAGGATCATACTGAAGAAGAAACTGAATAAAAGTGTGGTGATACCCCACAAATTACAGACACACACTAAATGAATGTAAACTACAGCTGGACGCCAGCCGAATGAAGGCAAGAGACCCTTTATCTCAGAAGAGCTTTCTTCCTGCAGGAAAATGGAATTTCAATCCCTGCATTAACAACCTAGTAATATTTGAATTGCAAATGTATCAGTTGCTTGACAATCTAGATATAAGAGACCAGAGCCATGGCTTGAAAGGACATTTGGCATGTATGATAAACCTATCACAGCTGTTACTATCATTCACTTCGCAGATTATTGTAAACAAACTTCAGCAACCCCAAAACATGCCATTCAAGGTGTTGCTGAAATTAGTTAACCTTTTGATTTAATTGCTTTTTGCACTTATGTTTGATTTATAAGCATCAAACCATGAAACCTCAAGCACTGCACTTGTCTTTGCTTAACTATGTCTTTCCATAATACAGTCATTTATGTCCCTTTAAAAATATAGCTATGTGTTTCCAATTATCTCTGTATTGCTTAAGATACCTCTTCTTCACAAAGAGCATGTATGAGTTGTTTCAAGACATCTGTAATAGGCTGGTTTTCAGCTTTTCGCTTTTCTAGTTTCTTCTCCAAAGCAGACACGTCAGATTTAGCACTCTAAATGGAGGTAACAGAAAGAATGTCAATTGCAAAAACAGCCTTCCCCAAGCAACTTGTCGGATCACTTTTATTAAAGACAGACAAAATAATCCTCCTCTTTCATACTATAAGAAATTTTTTCATCATTTAAGGTGCTTTTATCTGTTTAAATAGTACCTACTAATTGAAGATTTGAGTAAGAATACAGTAAAAAAAAGCATTAAGTAGTGTATCTACAAAGGTCAACATTACTATTTCTATCATATTCAGTTCTTTGTGTTCAGGGAAGTAGGGAATAGAAGTCTGTTTCTGTCTCGTCTCTACTCAGATCAGAGATGTAAAGACTTGACACTCCACCATTAGAAGCAGTATGGATTTATATGGTTCCTGCCACTCAAATGGATCACTGTAATTTACAAGCATGAATTAAGCCTCACACCACCACTGTTAACTAACTAGAACTTTCAAAAAAATATTTACCAGAGAGGGAAACCGAGGCATGAAACATTAGCCAACTCCAAGGTCAAGTATCAGGTCTATGTGAAAATCTGGAGAGCCTTTACTCCTACTCTGGAAAGTAACCTCTGAATTTCAAACGGTAGATTTAAGTAACATTAACATACTTCTGTGATCACTCTTCATCTAAAACCCATATCCAAACATTATTATTACACTAAGAACAAGCATAGCTATCTGCGAATTTACTTACTTCTGGAATGCTGTCTGTAGACAGGGATTTTTTATGAGACAGTAACCTTGCATCCTAAAATGTAGTAAGAAGAAGGTATCACTAATCCCCCCCGCAGAAGTTCAATCTCTAAGTAAGCATATCATGCTAAAAATGTTCCAGTTAATTATATAATTGCAATGTTAAAAAAAGCTGTATTCCACAGCATCATTACATTGACTTGAAAAAGCACTTATTAAATGTATCCCTCAAACTTTCATATTATGAAATGAAAACAGCTTCAACAGTGAAAAATCATGGAAAGGTTAAAAGGCTTACATATAATCATTGCATAAAGATATTTATTTTGCAAACGAGAATATATTCACAGAGTACAGATACTCCATTTTTTAGCTTCAAAGTAATTGCTAGAGAACCACAGACCTTAATTAATTCAGGAACTTGAGAGGAGTCCAGCAGTCTGCAAATGCCGCTCAAGTGGGTTGTAGGGATAACTATATTCTGTACCAAGAGGTGGGGAAAAATTATATGAGTTTTGAAACACAACCAAACTGAAATTTGTCTAACAGAAATTATCTCAGACGTAATTCAAGTCTCCAGCTCTTGCATGTCATTGAGAAGTGGTCTGGTTGTACTTAAAAGCAGCAATTTCAAATCTAATAGATACATGTCAGGCAGGACAGGCATTATGTAGCAAAAAATGAAATGGTACCATCTTCTTCAGCTGATGGAAGTATTGTCTCAAACGCTCCTCCTTGGCCTGTACCTCTGAGTCACTCATGCTGTCAATCAAGTGATAAAGAAAATAGCCAACAGCTTCTGTGGAAAAAAAACAAGAGAAAGCATTCCACTAAAATTACCGAGACTGTCATGTTATCAAGATTAATTTATAAGAAATCATTTTGGTGTGAGATGTCACCCTGATGAGAGGCTCTGAAATGGCAACAATGATCACTGAGGCATGGAGATTATGTGGTTTGGGAGCACATATCTAACTGGTGAGTGAAAGGAATATTAATTATTTTCAGACCTAGTGACAGCTTTTCAGTACGGAATCTTACTTCAATCTATTTTTTCCACTACTGTGTGACAGAAGTGGTACTGCCCAAGGCCTTCCCCCCCTTTCCTGCCCGCTACCCCAAATAGTTGCCACAAATATTTTGTCACTGCTCAAAAGAAAAAACAGATTTCTAACACTTTGCATATTTGTTCTGTACATCTTAGCCATTATATTCCGTTACAAAGATAAAGTATTTTAGTATTAATATAAAAACATAAAATACATTTTAACCGTTAGATGAACTAATGCTGAAGAAGTTGCCTATTAGCCAATGAAAATGAAGATTAACAGATTTTAGCAAGTAGTGCTAAGTTTCTTACATATGCAAATGTAAAAATATCGGGGGTCCTGCAGCCGAGAATAGGAAGAACATAATTTACTGTCTTTTCAAAGGTTCGCTTTCCCCATGCCCCCTTGTCCCTCTGGCCCTGACAGGAGGAAAAAAACCACCCTGTTTTTTAAAAAGCAGATTATACAAAAAAGTATACTTATTTCACAGTAGATGATTTGGGATGTTAAGTATCATTTTGCTTCATAAAAATCAGAAGAGCTACTAAAGGTATAACTAGGTTAAAAGACTGCATTTATTTATTTATTTTTTACGTACGCATTTCAGCACTGATATGTTGTTCATTCTAAATCTCTATTTTGGTCAATCGATTTAGAAAAATCATTATCAGCAAGATTTATTTATAATTCAAAAAAATTGCATGGATCTGACAAAATATGCTCTGATTATTCGAATCAGGATTTTACCCAACATGTTTTCAAATTTCACTTTCAAAAAGAAGCAATCAGTGTTTACTGTTATAATCCCTCAAACCCATCATTACACAGAAGAACGGATTTGTGGATAAGTTACAATCATAGAAATTGAAACTCTACCAGTTGGTCCTGGAGGCGTCAGGCAATAACGTTCATCCTTGTACAACAGTTCTGTTATCTGGTAAGACAGAATAATCGTACATTGCAGCCAAAAGAAGCAAGCAAGGACAAATAGTATCTGAAATTGAATTCTCAAAATAATAAAGCACTTCTCTGTTAAAGTATTATTCTTTACCACATCACAGTAATTCCCTAAGAAATACAAGGAAGTTTTTGTTTTTTAAATAATAGGTTTTTCTTTAAAAAAAATATTGCACACAGAAATGCTTTCTGAGGTATGGAAGCAAGACAGACACTCTAGTATTCTGTTTATGTATCATTCTACAGAAAGTTAGCTATTGTAAGACATTGCTTAAAGCAAATATTAACCAGCGTCACTCATGGAGATGCTACAATTATGTTCCAATTTACCAAAAGGCTGAAATTGGCCCATAAAGCTTTTTTTTGTTATTATTTTGAAAGAAGCAAATACATAAAGAAAAAAAGGAACACGATTTCTCATGCTCTGCTAGATTTATGATAACTAGTACAGCTGTTGTAAATAAGTGCAATTTTGAATGACAAAATATGCGTCCATAAAAATTAATTGCACTTGACTAAACTTAGCACATGTTCCATCAGTCATACAAACTGAAGGAATATGTATATTTTACTTCATCAGAGGAAAAGAAGCGTTTACCAAAAGCCCCCACAACCTCCCTACAAATACTTGAACTTAAACTACATCACTTTAAAAATCCATTTGACTGTTCTTAGGAAATTACATCATCTTTAGTTAAAAACTGAGATTTAAAATATTTCATTAATTTTGCTTTATCTGCCATGATTCTAGAATGCAACCTGAAAGAAGTTAGAGGGAGTTGCATTCCCACTGTCAAAGTGCTGTGTTATATGTAGTGACAAAAGAAAAGGAACCCTCAACATTCAAATGTTAATGAAAAAGGATAAACAAAGCCAGAAAATACCAAACGTGCAGTGGAATAACGTATCTATCACTTCTCATTCTACCACCACCACAGACACTGTGGACAGTTAAACTACAGCTTTCTTCTGCTCTTTTGTCCTCATTTTCCTATGACAAATCAAGACACAGAAGAACCTACAAATACAATAAAAATCCAAGAAAGTAATGATAGCATAGTTGTTCTGAATCAAATCTCAGAGAACATCAAAAAGGATGGATTACAGAACAAAAAAAAAGCGTGATATTATTTCTAATGATAATTATCTATTAATTTCCCAAATTAGCATTTCTTATTTTAGAAGGTTAATACACGTATTTACTCAGAAATTTAGCAAAGACAATAAAATATATCTGTCTTCCATTGTGGAGAACTGTAGAAGTAACTCTGTATGTAACTTCATGTGCAGACCACCATTACTGAAGTCCTCCGACTGTCCTTCAAAATTAGTGTCATAACAGGAGTAATTAGAGCTACCCTTTTTTTCTCTCCCTGCCATCCCTTTTAATTTTTTAAATGCAAAAAAGGATAGAAGTAGAGGACAAAAACATCCTCTTGCCATAATTTTCACACAACAGAAAATCATAGTAAAATACACAAAACCTGCACCTCACAAGCTGTACCTGACTTACATAAATCATTAATCAGTGACTTTCCAAATTAAAATTTCCACCTCATTCCAAGATTTCTTTGCAAAATCTAAAATATACTGCAAGCCATGTACTAGTTTATTAGTCAGCAGGTACAGTATTGAAGAAAAAATACAAAAAGCACAGTGCATGCCTTGTCAAATTTTGTAACTACATCCCGAGCAGTATCTGCCAACATCTCCTCTATTCTTGTGCTCCGCAAAATTTATTCACTAAGTTATACTGCAGTGTTTAATGTAGCCCATACCAGGGAGAGCAAGATGATCTGTCATTTCCCTTTGACTTCATCCAGGTGAGTTCTTTTATCTGGCTTTGCCTTCCATGTTTGAAGTTATATGACAGAAACTTTCAGGTTTTAATTGTGCCCTATTATTTTACTAGTACTAGTGTGGAGATACGAAGAAAGTTCAGGGACAGCAGGAAAGGGAATTAAACAATGTCAAATTGTACAACCATGGCAGGTTTTGTTACAGAAGCTACAACTATATACTACTTTCAGCTGTAACAACATTGATCTAGAAATCAGGAGTAGCAACAGCTACGCTACGTCATAGCACCACATTTGATTTTTCACAACTACACTAAACTGTACAATTTGAAAACTCAATTTCATACAGTTGTACAATCTGCCACTGACAAAAGTCTCGCTCAAATTAATCAGCTCTACAATTACTGATCTCTGAATTCAAATTTACAGTAATGCATGATAAACATGCAGTGCCTACAGAACATGATTTTATTTACAGCATTATCTCCACTTACCTTGCTCCAAAGTTGTACATCATTTGAGCTGAAGAGGGCAGCAAAGGATAACAAATTATAAGCAACAAAATGATTTTACTCCTGTATCTTTTTTTAAAAAAAAACCTCACAGATCATTAACACTGAGGATCTTATTAAATTATTGAAATAAAATTAAAATGCAGTAATTGCCACATATTCTTTAAGCCAACTCTGTACAGCGTAAGTATTGTACTTTTTACTATACTGCATATGGTCATAGTTTCTGCTAGATAACTTAAAATAATGCAGCGATCCAAACAGATAACTAAGACTACTAAGAATATATTTTAGTTTTATTTTTAATTAGATCTTTTAACATGTTCTGATTGTACTTTTTTATTTTATATGTCATTCTATTTAGCATTTCAAGAAAATAAACTTCCCTCAAACAAGTCGCACTTTACATAGCCAACCCTCAATACATGGAATTTGCTAGAGCTTTTGCTAGACTCCTGTGCATTAACATTAGATTTTTAGTAGAGACAAATTAACCACAGGCAGTTATAAATGCATTTATACCACGCAAAAAAAGTAATCAAATCTCTTAAGATATAATGTCTATTATAGTGACATAAATAGAAAATATTTTAAAAAACAGAAAATATATAACTCAAACAGGACAGATCTTGACGGAAAGCACTTCTCCGTAAATCATCAGGTTACAATCAAAGATCAAATGTCAACCAGTTCACTAAAATATAAAAAACCCTGACATATTAAAACATTAACCAGTTCACCAAAGTATAAAAAACCTGACATATTCCTATAATTTGTAGATCAAAATTCTCACTAGAAGCTATAACTTTCTGACAACTATAGAGCAGCATTAACTAGACAAGGCTAGGAGAACAAAAACTTATGACCTTATGAGAACTGTAGGAAGATAAAATAAGGGGAAAATAAGATGTCAGTCTGAACAGCTGCATAGAAATCTCAAAGCATTCATAGAAGTTTATGATTTTATTTCGGAGGTTCAAGCCTATGAAACATTTATTCTTTTTGTGCTACTGCCACTTGTATTGAAAATGAGTCAAATGCAGGTCCACACGGGGCGGGGGGGGGCGGAGGGCACGGAAAATGCTATCTGTGAGGTTAGTTAAGCTTTCTTGGGTAAACTCGCTCCACCACTGACAGCATGACAATGAACTGCAGATATCAAATGCATCAATTTCCTAAAGTACTTGACTCCGTAATAGTAATGGTACATCAGGCAGATAGAATGGGAATACTTCAAAGCAGTTACTAGAGAAGAGCAGCTTCAACAGAAATCCATAAACTAGTCTGCTGCAGACACTGTTCATGTGTCCCTGGTGTCTCTACACTGTCCTTTTGTATGCCAGTCCTAAATTCCACTCATTTGAACATTTGAGACCAGCATTTAGTCATAAAATTTTGCTGCAGTCTTCACAAAAGGTACACACATTCTTTTCTTCTACCCTACTATACCTTCAAGATTAATTTTCAGGCTGTTCTAGACTAGTCTGCTGCAGACACTGTTCATGTGTCCCTGGTGTCTCTACACTGTCCTTTTGTATGCCAGTCCTAAATTCCACTCATTTGAACATTTGAGACCAGCATTTAGTCATAAAATTTTGCTGCAGTCTTCACAAAAGGTACACACATTCTTTTCTTCTACCCTACTATACCTTCAAGATTAATTTTCAGGCTGTTCTAGCCAGAACCATGAATTGGCATGCTTTCAGAAACAATATAAGGGTGAAATATGGGCACAGCCAGCCTTGTACATAGCTTCTGAAGCCAGGTAACAATAAAGGCAAACAAGAGATAATATTAAATATTATTAAAGAAATAATAATATTTCTTTAGTAATTTTAATATTTTAATAATAATTTTAATAGTAATATTAAAGAAATAAAAATTTTTTAAAAACCACCAAAACTTGTGCCACACAAGTGGCAAGGAGAGTGGGAAACAGTAAACTAAAAAACCCCACCCTTAATTTCACTCAGAATTCTGAGTTTTTAGCCCAAATGTCTGATAACTATTGAAATCGGAACAGTCGTAACTGTGCCACCACTAAGGAGAGTAACTGTTTCACTTGAGGAGAGTATGATTCCTCAGCAGCTAGTTTTCACAACATAAGTTGATAATGTTTTAAAGATACTGTAAATCACATTCTGCACACCTGCACAACTCTCCAGTGGTAGAGGTATTTCACACTAGCATTGGTTGTGTGTGGAAAACATTGGTATGGCTTCCTTTCTAGGCTCAAGCGTTACTTCAATTAAATATTTATCTATACTTACAGAGAGAAAATGTGTTTTCAAAATCTGTTACTGTAATTAACACATCTGAAACAGATGATTCCGGAGCTGACTACTAAAAGGCATAGTAAAGTACCCCTATTGGATCTAAAACTTTATTTCAGTTATGCCTTGGAAGTCAAGGTCAGCTAGGACCTAGTTAACAAACCCAGTTTGAACACTGGGTTGTTTTTTCTCCTACTTTTCTCACAGTAGAGCAGGATCAGCTAGATAGAACTTGCAGTTTACTAGGAAATTATTTTGGTGATATTCACCTGCTGTATTTTACTAATATCTAACCTAAACATAGTTACATCTCGCACATCACACTCCCATTACAAAATTTTAGGAAATAACTTAGTCGACAAACTCGGCCTTCAGACTCTGGTCCTGAGTAATATTAAGTGATCTCTCTGGTTCCCAGTGGTGTACATATGCTGCAAAACAACCTCATTCACCATCCTCAATGTTTGACTGCGGCAAAGAGTGAATGATAGAAATGCTTGTTAATGCACATGTATTTGCGTAAGCAAAAAACCCTGCAAGTTAGGAAGGAACTCTCCTTACAAAATGGGACCATATGGCTATGAATACGAAGTCATGGCGACATAGCACAGTAGTAGGTGTTAAATGTGAGCATTTGGGAGTCATATTAACCCAAAGGGCACAGAAAGCTATCAGATGTAGTGGAATATGCCTGGCTCCTCCTGGTATTTCATCTTCATTAAGTACCATTTACTTTAATGGTTAATAGTAGTAATCTTTAAGGAAATCTTGTATTAGCATAGCAGTTTCTAAACAAAAAAGGTGAATAATGATAAAACCCTGAATGTTTTCTATTCTGAGAAGTTTATATACTGCCAAATAGCACAGAACAAACAAGAACAGTGAAGTTCTTTTTAATCCACTATATATAATACTTCAAAGGGATACTCACATATAGCAGAGGCAAGGAAACCAGGCAGAGTAGAGAGGAACAAAGATATTCCTCTGATCTCCTACAGCTGGAATCGTACTTTTCAAACATGCAGTCAGGGGGAAAAGACTGCACAGACTTGTGCTCAACAAGGCAAAAAAAGAGAGGAAATGTTGCTGCGAAGGGAGGGGAGGGGTAATTCATATAGCAACCTTACCTTTTAAAACCCAAAATGAGGCTGCTTTTAAACTGACGAGTATCAATAGGAGGTGTGCTTGCTGAAGACACTGTAAATGAAAGAAATGTTTCTAAATAGTCATTGTAAAAAAATCCCTGAACTGCAACAAGTCAGGAGGTCATGTAAATAGGGTATCATTAGAAGAACTATGTCTTCAGTTTAGTAAATGCTGATGAACTTTTTAAAATCAAAATTTCAAATACCAGGGTATTTGAAACAGTCCTGGTTTTATCAGCTCTAAATCCGCTCCATTTCAAAAGGGATCAAATACTCTGAGAGATTTTTTTTCCCTCCCTCTTCATTGCCCTTAATGTCAATAGTTGATACATCAAGTTTTTTATATAAATTAGTAATAGAAGTAAGCATCTTATCTGTAAAAGAAGTACAAGACCAAACAAAATATAATGTTCCAAAAAGCAAAACAACCCCAAACCATCCTTATCAAGAAAACTTGAGATATTAGCGCTGGGGGGGAAATCCATCAGCAGCAAATGGTTTGCTGTTTCAGACCGAATTCCTGCCTTAAAATAGGCTTTACAATTTTGCCTTCTATTTTTTTAGATTTAGAAAACAAACAAAAAACTAAAAAAGACACTTCCTTAGGTGTTTGCTTCTGCTGGTGTAAAATTGCCTAACAAGAAAGAAAAAATAGTGGTATCCACTGAATCAAGTTAAACATTAAGTGGGGAAAAAAAGAAAAAGACACACAGTTCTAAACGTTGATATTTACAATATTGGTTGAACACAAAGGAAACTGTAAACTTACTTAAAATTAGATGTCCCTGAGAGGTCATTTACAGTTATGCCCTATGTCCTCATCTTTACATCATTTCTTGGCTAAATATTCCAAATCATTCCACCTTGTTCCTCTAGAATTGCTGTGTCTCATTCCAGCACCACAATCCAGCAAAGAAAAAAAATACAGTAGTAGATGCATTTAAGTCCTGTGTGAAGTTATTACCACCTGACTTCACCATGACAATAGAATTAACCCCTGTAACAACTTGAATCCACTGGGCTCTTTCAGCCAGGGCTGCAATATGGTAGATGGTAAAAGAGAACTGAAATAAAAACACCAGCTCTATAGGAACCTGGGAAATAAAAGGCAGGAACAACATGCTGAAACCACTCCTTAGTCTAACTCCAGGCATTTATAAAATTAAAAGTTCTAAATGTTGGAACATTTATTTTAGTTTGAAAATCTCAGGTAAAGTTGGTTTCAAGAAACCCTCAACACAAATTCTCCTCCAGTGGTATATTAAACTTTTTGCTCATAAAAAGACCAGCAGAAAAGGATCTTAGTATGCTCAGCTGCTGCTGACAACCGGCAACCTGGTTTCCTTAGCAACAAACAAGTCTGAGAAAATCAAGAGGCTGACAATGAAGTGGAATGGAACAGCATGATAAAGGGAAAAAGCAGCTCTCATGTACACTGCCTTATGCGTCCAGATTCCTCAGCTGATGCTTCGCAGTTTTCATCTTGTCAGTAGCAGAAATCTATATATTATAGGGTATGAGAAGCTGAATCAATACAGCTAGATAGCAACCAGCATTAATAACCAACCTTCGCCTCCTCCGACTACACTGATGAGACAGTTTTGAACTATTTTCCATACCGCATCTATTTTTCCCTCTTTGTAATACTGCAAAAGAACCCAAGTCAAAAACAAACAAAAAAACCTCCCAGCTTTTTAATATCCATGCCTTATCATTACATAGGTGTTAATTAGATTCATCAGCATTCATTTCAGCTTGGTAAACTATTTACACGAGTACCTTCCTTTAAAGCTCAAGTTCAAAAGAAATTTTGTACATCTCCATGAATTATTAACCCTAGTCTTTGTAAAGAGAAATACCACTACAAGATTTAAATTCAACACACAGGCAACAGCTAAATAATACACTATGTGACACTAATTTCATGACAGGAAGACAGAATGCAGCCTGCTGTATGTGCCTCTACCATACTTTTGATATCTCATACATTTACCATATAGCAGGCACACACATATTTCTACCTTATAACACATTAAAACCTGACTAATTCAGTTAACCAAAATGAGTGTGCAGGGTGGGTCTACTCTTTCATGTAGGCAAAAGACCCTGTTCCACTCTGGAGAAGGAATTTCATTGTTCCTAATAAATAGTTATCCTTTCAAAAAAATTTCAAAGTTCTTTTAAGTACTTCATTTTCATGGTTAATGTTTTTTGTTGTAATAAGAGCAAACAAAATAGCATAATCTAAGGTGAACCTTAAAGTTTCACTAATTGACAAATCTCCAATACAAAAATTAAATCACTGATTAGTAACTACTCATTTCATTTTCTCATTTTCAACACTACAGCATCCCATGGTCACGGTGTATAGGCTACATATTTCTATATTTTTTAAATAAAACAGTTAATAACAATTGCAGCAAAAGACTGCTTACACTTTTCCCTGAACCTTGGACAAATAAAACTTGTTTAAAAAAAAAAAAAGAGATCTCTCTGTATCAGATTTAGTCCAAAATCAGGTGGTTTATTTTTGTCTCAGTATACTAGGAAAATAAAAACTGTATTGTTTTAAATTTTGAAGAGAAACATACATTCCTACTTAACCAAGCAAATCATCCCATCCCGTACATTCAATGACATGTATTATCTTCTGCAGGCACTGAGGATCAGAACAGTCTTTGGAGAGAACTCTTAAGTGATTAATTCATGCTGTTACAACTTCACCTAATTAACCCATCCGATTCATATACATAACTTCCATGACCAACAGATCAGCAGAGCACCCTCAGGTCAACATCAGTGCCAATCAGTTCTTTAAAGTTGGTTCTTTCATTATAATTCTGTAGTACTTCAGAGCCATATTGTTAGACTAGCATCCTGTTGTAATTGATGTGCAAACAAAAGCAAACCCTGCACCAAAGACTTAAGTCATTGTGCAAGGCAAATTCTCTCCTTAAGCCCACAAAGTACAAGAGGATCATAATCCTATCACAATCACAGCAAAGCTGTGATTCATAAATATGTTGTATGTAAATCTTACAGCTACGTTCAATATTAAAAAAGAATTTAACCATGATATTTTGTCCAGAATTGGTAGTTTCAAACAGTCTGACATCTCATCATAAAGGACCTCACGTAATAAAACTTTGCTCAAGTTCCCCACATATCTTTAAACCTCATATATTAATACATGTCAATCTTTTAGCCTACAACCAATCAACACTATGGCCAAGTGCATAGTTACGTGCAACATGAAAAATACTTACATAGAGAAAGAACATTATTCAGTCTTCCATGTGCTGCTTCATATCTTATTTCTGCTACAGAGAGTCCAACAGTTTCAAACAGGCAGTCATTTTTCTAGAGATAAAGCGATCAATCATTGGAAATACATCCAGAGAAGACCTTCTGCTATTGTTTTTAAACACTTCCTTCCCAAAGGATATTAGCATTCTTGTATTGATGGCTATTGAGAACATAGAAGGTGCTCTACAGAAGCCTACATGGCTAGCCACATAAGTTGCTACTCATCAAAAATTATCCAGTTTTTATTGAAATCAATTGCAAGAGAGAAGTTACCAAAGGCAGAAAGAGTGGGACAGTTAAATTTAGTCTGCAATTCTGAATTCTTCAGCAATTAAAAAAAAAATTCACCAGTAACAATTGTAATACTCCTAATACCCAGTTAAAAAAAAGGACATAATTCATTTATTTATTTTTCCACTTCAGGAAACAGAAAGCTAGTAAGTCTTGAGCAAAGTATTTTGGTTAGCTCTGAAAAGGAGAAAGAAACTCAGGAGAAAAACACTGTAAACAAACCATCAGTGCAACAACTGTTTCAAAAGTAATCTGAATGTTCTGAACAGGCTTCATCATACCAGGTTCATGTTTAGAGCACAACTGGGATCCACAGCCTTAATAAATAACATAGCAAAAACAAGGCAGGCAATAGTAATTTTTATGAATTCTAAATGTAAACTCACCTTCAGCTGGGCACGGGCAGTTTCACTATCAGCAAAATTTTTAAAAACATAGTCTGTGTATGTTTCTGCATCAAGTTCCACCCCCAACTCGTGCATCACTTTGAGGACATCAAAGATACCTAGCAAGACAAAATTGGTAAGCCTAAGCATTTCAGAAAAACGGAAACATGAGACTCAACTTTTAAAAAGAAATGTTGCTTTTCAAAAAAAGCACTTCTCTCCTCAATCTCCCTCCTTGAAAATGACATGCAAAATCCTGCATTTTTATTTCAGGTGTTAATAAAGTTCTTAATTGTGAAACTTAGAATAGATTTACAAAACTTGTTTTTCTGTGCTGTACTATAAAAGCCACGAAACTCTTGGCCAGTTTGGAAACTGCTAGTATACGAAGTTATCTTCTAACACTGAATATATGACAGTTACTCTTGGTCATGTTTGCAAAACACATTTTAGAGCTATGTATCAAAATGTCCATATTATTTGGCACAAAAAACAAATCTGAAATTTTGTGTAAAGTATGTAATCAAAATCAAGATACAAATGCATTCTTCAATACATAATACATTCTTAGTTTTGTTCCCAGTATCCAACCCAGATTAGCAATCTTTCAAGATCTGTCTCTAGATTTGTTTAAAACAAGTAACAATTTTGTAAGCACATAGGTTGACTCCTCTATCAACGCATCAGCTTCAAACTGGAAATTCAGAGAAAGGCTGGAGTCTCCCAAGCCCCAGTGAAGCTACATTATAACTTCTACAGGGTTCAGATCAATTCACACAACTAGACTGTATATTAGTACTGTAGATATGCATTTGAAGACAACAGATACCAAATCTTAGTAGTTCAGCAATAAGAGTGTATGAGTATATGTCATGCTTTTTAATTGCTCACGCTCTTTTGATTTACAGAAAATTCTTACAGTAACCCTAGCTAGCAAACTCTGAACCCTTGTCAAAACAAATACAGGTATTTATCATTTTTGCTGGTCTAAAAATGATTTGTCAGTTGCTGCAGGACACCAGTACCAAACAGCATATGTTTTTTTCAACTTGCATTTCATACTTATTACTTTAAAAATGTAAAGTTTCCCAAAGTCCCTGTCTTTGCCCTGGAGTGCCACCTATGGAAAAGTGACACTTCCATGAATATTTTATGCAGTGCACTACGGTGCAAATAATCAAATGTGAATTCCCTTTGAGCACTCAAAAATACATGCAGGCAAGTCACACTAGATTAAAGTCGCATCATCTGTTAGAGTTTGCCTTAAACAAAACTCTGATTTTGGCCCAGAATCTGCAAAAATATGAATGAAGAATTAATTACAGTAAATCTTTCTTGATACTTCTCAAATTTTGACAGCTAGCTTCTATTTCATGTCTTCTACTTCACAAAAAACACACTAAGTCCTCTTAAAAGTTGAAACCTTTTAAAAAAATAACTGTATCTGTATCACTAGAAAGTAGTTTGTAGATCAAGAACTAGACACCATAATGAATAAGGTGTGGTAAACTCAGGAGACTTGGATTCAAATTTGTATCTAGAACAGAGTACAAAACAGGCTTGTTAATCATCCCCATTCCCTAGTAGACATTGCGACAAAAATGTTACATGAACTGGCATAGTTCCCGAGTAGGAAAGGGCATGCATGAAAACTAGTACAACAGTGATATGCAGATTAAAGAGGAAGACCAGTTACAATACTGCATATAGCCAAATTAATTGCAAACTTAAAAATGCTGCCACATATTTCTTCATTTCTAAGATGGCTAATGTACAAGTCGGGGGCGGGGGGGGGAGGGGGAGAGGATAGAAGATTAAAACCAACACAGAATCCTACAGTTTTGCATACATTCTCTACCTCACCAAGAGTAGAAACACTTTATTATCACATAGACACCTTCCACAACACAAAGCAATAAAACATTTGCACTTCAATCAAAATACTGTAAAATTATTCAATACATGCATGAAATAGGATTTGAGCACTATGTGTGTGGACTTTTAGAAGTTATTTGCTCCTTATATTGGAAAATACACTAAACTCTTCTCTCTCCCCAAACCAAAGAACAGACTAAAAACAGAGAGACAGAAGTGCAGTCAGGTTCATTTAGAACGCTGGTCTACCAAATTTTTTTCAGAACACAGCCCCAATACATGCGTATTTACTTAGAAATTATATACACATACTACTGTACTGATATATTATGCACAGTATAAAACATACACAAAAACAGAAAGTAAAAAAGGATTAAATAATTATTTTGTTTATTAACAGATGGCTCACACCCCAGTGTATTGCCTTGCACACCCCACTTCGGAGACCACTGATCCAGAAGACTGGTATGGCTAAAACCCACAGTAAAGTCTTCCGGCCATCTCCCTGCTTAATCAAGAACAGTTTTTTGCAATCATGGGGCTGAGATACGCAAGGACTGCAGGAGCTGAGTATAAAAAAATCATTTAGCGAGTGGAAAGAGGAAAGAAACAGACAAGAAAACACAGACAAACTTCTGTTCTCCTTTTTGTCAATACTGGAAACAGCACTGGAACACCCCAACAGAAAAGATTCCAGCCTCCAATCGGTATATCCAAGAACAAATACAGAAGAGATTAATTACAATGTGGTCATAATATTCCTGTGATAGAGCAGAGCAACTTGCTGTTATTCAAGAAGTGAAAAGTGAGACTTGCATTTCAGTCCACCTTTCATTTCCTAAGTTTCTCACAGTAAGTCATGCCTTCTTCCAGGGGGGATTTCTAAGGCAGTTACGTACACTGCTACATGTGCAAGGGCTTCAAGCAGTTTTCTGAAGAAACAAAAAAAAAACCCACTCTGGTTTGAAAAGCAAGGTCGCTTTTAGGAAAACAACGTAACATATAAGGTATTTTTGCTGTGCTGTTAATTTCAGATGCACTCAGAGTTCTTTACCAGAAAAACTTGTCTTCAAACTAGTATTTCAAGCAATCACTTTGTGAAGTTATCCACCTAATTCCTTTCTGGACCCAGACTCTTATTTCCCAAAGTAAAAACTGAATTATCATTCACTAACCATGCTTTGTGTATATAACAACAGTTTAATAGTAAACTAAAGTTTACTGACTTTTAAAAAACTGTCCTTAAAAATAACATGATTATACAAAGATGAAGGGGAAGTCAAGCATTTCTAGTTATTTATAGTAGCCGCTCCCAGTTTCAGTGTATTATCTGATACAAGATGAATCTCAGTGCCAGTAACCATTTCAGAACCACTGCATATGGATCTTTTAAACCCTTCAAGCACTTTCCATTCCTAAAAGCCCAACAGTAACAAGTAATTATTAATTATAATTAATAAGTAACTAGATAAGTAATAAGGAAATCAGTAATTATCAAATTATATAACAAATGCACACAAAAGCAAGAATGCCCTATCTGAAATTATTTGCCTGTGTAAAATGATGGAAAAGAACTGTTTGCTATTTCAGAGTGGTTAAGTTCTCTACAGTGTATTTAAAAGTGGCCTTGCTTACTTTCATTCCCCTTAGCCACCACTTTACTGCTATTTTTCTTTCAAACTCAATCCCATAGTACAGAAGTTAGGGAATTTCCTTTGATATCCCATGTCAGCTTTTGTTATAATGAACATTAGATAAATGTATAATTAAACATTTTTATTAGTTATATAATTGTTTGGGTCACATTATACATACTGATGCAGGCATTTGTACCCTGCAGTTCTAGGTAAGTTGTTGCTTATATTTGTGTTCTTTAACGATTATTTAGTCCACTATCTACATCTTATCAGATTTTTAATAGTTTTTCCTCAAAGTTCTTTTCCATTTGCAGCCTGACCTATACAGAGATGCAAAATTATACACATTAGGCTGGGCATTACTACCTTGTAGAGAAAGGAATTATTACTTCATTTTTGGTATGAGATGTGATACAATGTCTATCTACACTTTTGTTCACACAGCTCTATTATTTTTTGCTGCTAGAAAGCGCCATTCTGTTCATTTACTATCTGCTGTCACCTTTAAGTTCTCACTGCGGCATTATTTTTTGCTCTATTATTTCTATAAAACAATTTCAGGCTGGGTGGGGTTTACTCCCCTATTTTCTTTCCTTCAAACACATTGATTATATTTTTAGATAGTGGATCTCTTTTTTTTGTTGTTGTTAAATTTCAAGAAATGAATGTAAGCTTACACATGGGAAAGAAAAAGACAACTTGTTTCACTGCAGCAAAATAATTCCACTGACTCTTCATGTAGAAAAAAAATCGCTTAGGTATCTTACGTATTTTAAGAATTGCAAAATCACTGACTTTTGTAGGTATGCACACAGTAATAACGTTCCCACTTGACAATTCAAACTTGGAGACTAAGTACCAACAAAAACATGTTTGCAAATCCACAGTACTATCATACAGCCATACAGAAGTTTATACATTCAATGCCTTTGCAGATAGAAAAAGAAAAGCTCTCTAGAAAATGGCAAAGCCAGAATTGAGGGTTCCATCCTCAGTTTTCTTTTCAATTTGCTTACATGGCTTCCAGCAGGAACTAGTAGCCAAAGCATAGTTGATTTCTATAGCAGGAGCTCAAATTAAGGCAACTTCTGATCTTACCAAAGACCAAAAGAGATATGAAAACTTAAGTTACTCTTGATGGTCAAACATTGCTTCAATTTTGGGAGCTAAGTCTAAATCTAAAAATACTTCCAACACCTTTTATAATTGTGTTAGTGAGGTGAAATTTTCCATGGAGTAACAGACAGCATGATTTTTCAGTAGGCAGCATCCACATAGAGAACTATGACACCAATTTCAATTTACTTGTTTTTTGGCAACATTGTACTTCAATTAAGTCACAAAGGACCCAACTAAAACAACGTTGCCAGACTTTTAAAATATCATAGAACTTTCAAGCATTTGAAAACCTGGGAGAAGATGAACTTGGGAAGTCGCCTAGTAGGAACAGAGCCTAAGGAGTTAATAAAAACTGAATATTGTTTTCACAAAGGCTTTTTGAAAAAGACTTAAGACATTTTTATAGCCAGAAACAATTAGGGAATACTTGTTTCAGCATTTCTTCCACACTGGAATGTGACTGTATATTTAAGATAAAATTGCGATATGAAGAGTCTGCTAAAAGCACTTTTTTTTTGTTTGTGCATTTTGTTTGTCACCCAGTGTCACACTAACAACTCTGCATCTCATTCTAAAGCACATTATACTGTGAGATAAGATGAAAAAGACAGTTTTTTGTTTCCCCAAGGGGGAAGTACTTCTGTTAAAAGCATCTTTTTACAATACCATTCTTTCTGAATTACCAATAACGCAAACCAAAGAATTAGATATTGTACTCTAAAATTTAATATTTGTTCAATTCTTATTCATATCCTGTAGACATCCCCATGTGTAACAGGGGAAAGTGTGCTAAATGCTTAAACCTATTTAAAAATCCCAAAGATTGAGCATTTCTGTCCTTCAATCAGTATGCTGTCAGGTCAGGCTCACACATTCAGCCATGTAAGTTCTCCTGCAGTTTTTATTATCGTAACAAAACTCACATTTGGCTTGTCAGGTAAATAGTAAGAAGTTGGCTTGAAAAAAGGATTGGGTTTGCAGTCCAAGACAGCTATATTATAACATAATCTTACTTTTAAATGCTTCTCTCAGATTCCAGTTTCTTCAAGAGTAAACTCAGTAAAAGGTAATGAGCAGCAAAAAGAATCAGTGGAAGGCAGAAAGAACGTGAAGGGTTAAAAAGATAATTAAACACTCTCACAAACCTTTCTATGCAAAGGTAGACTTTAAATTTGTAGAAAAGTACCATGATTAGGAAAGAAAGAAGATTTTGAAAAAAGTCTTTCTGAAGAAAAAACTGTTTGCAACAAAAAATACAGACAAGCAGCAAGGTCTTCGTTCACTTTCAAGAGTCTGCTGAATCTCCTAACAATGTTTTCATAGTAAGATATGTGCACTAGGTTTGCAATAAATGAAACAACTAACCTTTAAGATTCTTCTCTTTCTGGAACCCAACTAGCAGCGGCCAGGAATAATGAGGTCTGAGTGGCAAGCCTTCCTCTTTCATCATCTTCATCACATCAATGGCCAAGGCTGCAAAGATTCACAAGACAATTAAACAGTGACCAAGTACTTTAGATAAGCATATGTAAAATATCTAAATAAGCAGAGTACCTGATTTGTTGGCCTCCAAAGCACAACGCAAAATAAATGGTAACGGTGCTGAGTGCATTTTTGCTTCTTTTAACTCACTACAAAATTGCTTCAACTTGTTCATAGGCTGCGAAGAATTTAAAAAATCAATTTAATATTTTTTTCTATTTCACAAATTGTTAAGAATATCAGATTCTTCTAATGTTTAGGAAATGGATGTGACACATGCCAAACATGATTCCTTCATGAATTTCAATTTACTATGCAAATTGATATGAAATTTTAAAATCCTTCTTTTATTCTTTAAGAACCATGCAAAAAAACTTCCATTTTTCTTCACAGTTGCATCAAGCTAAATATACTGTTCCTAATATATTAAGAAAAGAGTATTACTGTTCTGCATACCAGATCTCTGTTTACACAGTGTTGCAAGAAGAAGCTACCCTGATCCACATTATCGCGCGATAAATGATTAAGAGACTTCAAAATATGGAAACTTATATCTTCAAAGCCGTGAGTTACCAGAGTCAAACACAGGTTCATTGCATCTAGCAATTGAAAAACAGAGAACAAATTTTAGAAGTACATATACATATTTTCACATTAAACTACTAAAATTAGTGAAAGCTAGGTTAAGTGTTTTACAAGTATCATTAGCATATTTTAAACATGATTAACCAATCAAATTTGAGACTACCCTTTTCAGAATTATATTTATCAATGAAATTTGCTTTTCCTGTTAGAAGACAGTGCCAAAAAATACAGAAGCATAACCACTGCAATATGATAGAAGGATACTAAATATAAGAAACACATTTCTAGACACGTCAAAAAGGAAAAAATAAGGTGAAGTGTATTTAACAGTTATCAAACAGATTATGCATACTGGGATCCAAAAGTGTCTTTAACTGTAGATAAAGGAAACTATATTCAGTGTTTAATCTCCCTTTTTATGATATTCACAAAGAAGGGCCAGAACAGGAATTAAAAGTATTGTTTGAAGAAAAGACTCCATGTTTACTGCTTTTCTATAAAAACGTAATGAATTTTAGAAGTTAAAAAAAATTTATAAATTAATTATTGTATGTAAATTATTAGAACACATTTTATAAAATTTAAATATAAACCAATTTGAAAGTAGTACAAATGAATCCACAAACTAATGGCAAAAATATCACTTTCCCTAAGCATTCAAGAGAAAAGAACTAAATTGTCGATTTTGGGTAACATTAGTTATTGTTGCAATTAAAAAAAAAAGCTTTCTCTCTCCACCCTGAGTAGCAAAACACTGCTGTAATAATCAAGTACATACCTGGAATTAATCCCTTTTCAAATCTTATGCGTTCTTTAATACCTTCGATGTACTGAGGATATCCAGCCCTGGCAAGGCTAAAAATTACCTGCATCAAAATCCTATCCATAAGGTACCCTTCACTCTTCTCAACCTCTTCCAGAGTCTGTAAATCAAAATAAATTTAACTTCAATAGACTCCAAAGTGATTCAAAATAGCATATACTAAAATAACAAAAAAAAAAAACCCACAGAAAAACAAAACTGAAGGGTTTTTTCCATTTTAAAAAACCACAGGGTTAGATACATAGAATATGGTAGAGAGAATACCAAAGATCTATAGAGAGGGCCTCAAACACCTTTAGACTGTGAAAAAGGGATATAAGAGGCAGTTCTCTCTATTACCTAAAAATATATGAAAACACCAGAGGTGTTCCCATTGTGAGATGACTTTCAAAAGAGATTACTTTGAAAAGACGAGAATGATTAATCAAACTTTTTGCTAGTGTTTGGAAGAAAGTTGGTTTACGAAGATTTGTTTAATTTGTAAGTCACAGAACAATATTATGTTTTGCACATCCTCTTCCTTGATTCAGTCCTCTCCATCTGATACTACTTATTAAACTCAAACCAATTTTCTTCTCTCATTCCTTTATGAATACTTCTTCGATTTTAAAAAAAAGAGATATATTCAAGTAAAGAATACTTGAAAAAAAATCAGCTACACAAAGGGCTGTAAGGTAGCATTATCTGATTCACACTTTCATAAAGTTGTTGGTATGAAAAAAAAAAATCAGTTTTACTGGAAAGACTTCGTGCCTTCAATGAGAGCCAAAGAATGACTCAATACGAGTAGTATAATCCAGGTTTATTTTTTATAAATATACAAATATTTCACGTGTACTATTTGCCTCTTTAAAAAAAAAACTGAATTATTAAATCACTACTGACAAACATATACTCTCAGAGTGAAAAGCAACTATCAAAAGACAAGCATTTTTCATAAGCTACGAGAATGCTTTCAGTTAACCAGTTATTCAGATGCAAAAAAAAAAAAATTAATTGCTGCAGACTAGGAGGAAACAAGTTATAAAATTCAGTATTATTCCTCCTACATAGATAAAAAGCATTCCAAAGTTGAATTGAACAAAAGATCAAACAAGTTGTATTTAAACTCAAACTTGCAATACCTTTTTGATGCTATCAGCATCACCCTTTTCAGCATACACATTCAGGAGTGATAAATAGGTGTCTGGACCTGGTTCAACACCAGCCATCCTCATGACTGAAAGGATATTTTCCGCACTCTTCATATCTCTAAAAGAATTCAGAAAAAATACCCTCAGTAGATTTAATCATTATAATGTTTATTGTGACTTCCACATTTTCTCATTAAATTAATTACAATTGGAAACAAAGACTGCAACAAGCATACAGAAACTTATTTTAAACCAAACAAATCTTGGAAGGTGAAAGTGAAAATCTTTTCATTATTATATTACTGAGAAAACTATTTCAACTTTAACAGTTGAAAAAGTTCAAAACTAAGTGCAGCAAAGTTCTTTTTCAAATAGTATTAAAGTGCCATAATTTATCTTGAAATTCAAGATCTTCAGACACAAGAAATACCTACTTTGTTAAATAGCCCCGTTTTGCTTCAAAAATGTGTAAAAAGACAATCTTCTATACATCATTAATAAAAACCATCACACTATTCTTGTGAATAGGGTGATGCCATTACAAGCAGCATGTAATTTTTCTGTACAGTATCACTTTATATTGTACTAAAACTAAAAGAAAACAAAACAGGTATTAAACAACATTACCCTGATCTTGCATGACCTTTTACAAGGCTACTGAATACTGCCTCAGTAATTGGGAGATCTTTGTTCTTCATAAATCCAAGAATCTTACTGCAAGACACAAGACAATGAATGATTAGGTTTTTGGGGTTTTTTTTCTCCTTTGAAAAGATAAACTACTGAGCTATTGCTGCTCTGCTGGACAAGTACTGCATCAAACAAAACCAAATCCTGATGTCACTGAGCAATTACATTTGGGGATGCTGCATAATATGCTCATAATTTGGTCATTTTAATTTTTCCAGATGAATTCTATTTGTCACTTTGAATCATGCCCACACAAGGCGGGGGCTGGGTTTTTTATTTTTCTCTTCCTTTTACTTATTTCTCATGCCCAGCAATCACACTGTTGCAACTTAACCTTGCTAAAATAAAAACATTAGACACATGTCCAGCAAGCCCTGCGTAACGACAACAAAACCCAGATTTATTACTATTTCATCCTTAGCCCAGTTAATTCTCAAATGCCTTTCCTAGTAGCCATTTTCTTATGTAGGCAGTAAGCCTCCATAATCTCACACTTTTTCACGCTGGCTCTAGAAATGACAAAGCAAGTTACTTTCTGAGCAACTTGAATACAATTTGATCTGAACACACTGGTCTATCACTTTTCTTTTGCTTGTGTAGGTTCCAGCTGTTTCTAAGAAACTGCTCTTCAGTGCTTGGTTAAAATATACTTTAACTCCCTCTTTGCTTTGCTCAATTTATAAGAATTACATTGAAATGAGTTTTAACATTGATGGTAGGGAATATGAGAAATTTTGTGGCAATCCCTTTAAACATAAATGCGAAAGAATACCTCGCTCCTTCAATGTCACCCTCATTGCAATAAGCAGCAATCAACCTTTGGTATGTAACCTACAGAAAACAAAAAGGGCGAGTTCATGATTTCCACCCAATAAATGAATGCTACTATTATGAATAGTAATAGAATGCACTATTATGAATGAAGATATCATAAAGGGGTACCTACTCGATTGGGCTGTACATTAGCTTCCTCCATCCTGGCCAAGAATTCCGTCGGAGAAAATTTATGCTCGTTCTGAAGGTAGACTTTAAGTAAAGCATTATAATGGCTTGTATCATACACAGCACCTAAGGAAATATTTTATCCAGTCAGTGAATGTAGATTCTCTGAATTCAACACAATTTTGTACCTTCCTCAAGCAATTAACTTCATATCAATTTTATTCTGTATGAACTTTATGTATAACGAGACTGCTTCCTTTTATGCACCTTTGAAGTATCAGACATCTATTTAAGAGCACACATCTGTTTATAAAAGGCTAAAACATAACAAGAGCACAGTAACATCAATGTGTGCGTGCTATCCCACAGTCTCTACAGTTGTGTTTATTTTACAGATTCAGCAATATTACTACGAAGAAGCAGTTCACCTATGCAACATCTATAGATAAATCAGTAACTTACAATTAAAAAATCATCTGATAAAATAGTTGGTTGCACTAGGAATACTCAGCCCACCAGATACCTAACAGAATATCTAACTTCTAACAGAAAAGTAAAATCCACTCTCACAATAATGAAAATCTAGCAAAAGTCCAATTTAAGCACCTTAATAATAAATCTAAAGGTTTGGTTGTTTTTTTGGTAACACCCCTAGATGTCAGTATAACTCGAAGAATAGGAAATAGGTCTCTCACTTGAATAATAGAAGCTAGCTTTTTTTAGTAATGGGTATTTGCTTTTGTAACCTAACATTTAAACATTTAAAATATGTTCAGACTTCTGTTACAAAGAAAGTAACTAAAGCACACAGCTGTTCTTGCAAGAGGGACTAACAAAAACCAACCTACCCAGTTCTTTCATCTTGTCCCATATCATATGGGCTAATTCTGTTCTTTCAGGTGACAATACCTCTGGTAAAAGAGCGCCACAACTTCGCAACAAAAGCAAGGTCTGGTTACTCCCTGGACACCCTGCAAGTGGAACACAACCACAGATTTCTTTGTAAATAATTATACATTTAAAATTAGAAAAAAAATTCAAGACTGACCCACTGAAATATTTAAGCGTTCTGTATAGAATAGAATCTTCTCCAAAACTGAAGTATTTTACTGAACAGGATACGCAAATAATTAAACAATGACAGTATGATGCTCTATCACGAAAAAGATTCATGATAAAACATGCTATTTAGTAAAATAATGAGCTCAGCTGAGCAGAAATTTTAAGTAGTACAACTCAAAATACTAAACTCAAATGATTTCATACTTTAAATCTCCTGATCTAAGATCCATAGATCATTTCATCCTAACCAGGACATAACTTTCTGGTAAATTTTTAAAATGGCAAAATACTTCATACCAATTCCACACTACTCCAAAACTAGTATTCAGAGACATTCCATATTTGAATTTCCATTTCCACTTCTGCCCATGCTCAATATAAAATAAATGAGATAATTTACATCTAGAGCATAGTGAAGGAAACTATGAATGTCTACCTTCTCTGACTTCTGCACTAGCCCGAGGATGTCGAAGAAGTAACTATGAACTCATCTATCTGTCTGTCTTGGACTTCACTACTATTCATAAGGCAAAGAAAGGCAGAGCTGTAGAATTTATCACAGATTACCCAATAAGCTGGAGACACAAAACTTTTTTCAATCACATCTTTATATGCACACCCAGCAATTTCTAATAAAAAGGAGAGTTCCTTTAAAAAGCAGCATACTGTAAAGGGAAAAACAAACAAACAAAAGGCAAAAAAAAATGTTGTCTATCCCTCTCCTAGCACAGAGAAAGGTATAATTCAGAAGTAATTTCCTCTAACAAGGAGCAAGACAAATGTTCACATACAACATCGAAAACCTTACAGATTTTTTTCATCATTGCCCTCAGAGACATACATGCAGACTTGAAAGACTCAGACTTCCAAAATGACTTCAAGTCTAAAGCATCTCTAATGCTTTATAAGTTACTGACAAATCATCATGCCAACACTCCAGAGTTGTGTACAGCCCAGCACAGAGGCAGGAGCTGTTGCCAGTAAAGATATCTCCAGCTGCTGCTGACCACTGTAAGTGTAATTTCTAATTATACAGAGCTGCAGAAACAGCTACATACAACTATAAAATAATGGCAAAATAAAGTAAAAAAAACCTCAACAGCAGAAAGCTAAATACTCTCTAGGTTTAGAACTTCAGGCACCAAACAGGACTAGCAAATCTAGGATACCACATAACTAATGCAAACTACGTTGCAAGAGTGCAATCTACAGCAGAAAAGTTACTCATACAGAGTAAACTCATCTAGAAAGACAGCCAGCCAGTAGTGGGAAAAAACTAGGCAATAATGAGAAAGGAAGAGAAAAAAAGTCAACATATTGAGGGGGCAAGTACAAATTGCAAATGGGGATTTGAACTTCTGAAGACATAATGGAGCAGTGAGGTAAGTCATACCTGACTAACTTTTAAATCCCTGCATACATTCAGTTCATGCAATAAAAATGCCAACACATCTCCAGTTTCACAATGCCAGTGTTACAATAGTGACCAAGTACCTTGAAAAGTCAAAAGAAACCGGAAAAGGTTTGGCAATATGAGTATAGAAAGATGCAGGACAAGATCCAAAGCAAGCACCTTCCTTGGGCATTTTTTGTTGTAATTAGAAACGGAAGAACAACACAAACACAGTCAAATCTTTTTAAGAAATCCACAATAACTAACCTCCCACACTTTTACTATATTAGTTTTCAACATTATTAATAAAAAAAAAGACTGGATTTTTCATATGGAAATGATTTATTTGAATAGCATCCTAGTTAAATCTCTTGGTAACTTCCATGTTTGTTGGTTTTTATTGTGGGCTTTTTTTTAATATACTTACACATCCAAAGGAAACCACTATAAACAATTAAGTTTTTTGTTAATACAACTTCCTAAGAACCATGTAACTAATCAAATATCATCAAGAACTGTGATTTGCAGATAAGCTTAGAGACATAAAATTCTTGCCAATCCACACTCACAAATTCTAAGTTTATAGCTAAAAAAGAAAAAGCAGTCAGAATCAAAAAGGATATCACAAGCAAAAAGGAAAAACTTAGTTCGACAGGAAGAGAGCATGAACTGAAGACTCAACTTTTAAACAGTGACCAGCAAAACTCTTATAAGCACAATCCCAGATATACAAGCCAGTGACAGTCCAGAAGAATACGCAGAAAAGTTTAAAATTAAAACAATACATGCTTTCATTGTTAAATATACTCACCAATATTCATCAAATATCTCCATTGACTCACCGTAACTAGTACCAAACTTCATCAACTGTGGTACCTTGTTTGCAAAATATTAATACAGTCTGGCTATTTTTAGCCAAATATTTATTGAATCTGACAGAATGAACCATGCCTCAGCTGTTTATTTTTGTTTTATTCAAAAAATAAAGCTTTCTTGTCCTGAATAGCCACAGCTACCAGGGAATGGGGAAGCTTGGGGATCACCTCCACATTTCCCTGTATAGTTCCATTTTAAAACAAATGGCCTCTTAAGGACAGCATGGTTTATTATAAACATTTTAAAAGTATACTGTGTAAAACAGACAGACATGATCCCTATTCAGAGTTCACAGTACAGTTATATGAGGAAGGCGTAACATTACCAGATAAAAATCCACAATAAGCAAGACAATATGATGAGACGTCTTAAAAGCACAGTTTTTTTTTCATTTTTTATAAATTCGCAAAGACATAAAAACCTAGAAATGCAAATGTGAACATTTAAAGGAAAATAACATCTCTAAAGCATTTAATCTTCATCTGTTCATCATTATATGCAGTAGATTAAACAAAATCCAAAGACAAACCATAAATCAGAACTCTTTCAAATAATTTCCTTGGTCTGATGAATCATTATATTGCAGCTTAAAATGTAGCTTTTGTTGTGTTTTAACTGGAAGCAACTTACCTGTTTTGCATATTCCATGGAAGATTTTTAGTAGAAGGGCTTTAGGGATGCGGCCAGTTTTTCTGACAGAGTTATCCAGTTTATTTAATGCCCAGTCAAACTGCCAGGTCCGTCTGTTTTGAATTTCTGAAATTGGTTCTTCTTTAACACCTCCCTCCTGCTGAGGTGCAATTGTGAGGAACCTTATTTGGTACATAATATTTCTGCTGAAATAAAAACAAACAAACAAACAAAAGAGAGATTACATTCTGTGACTCGTTTTGCAACTCCACTAGTCATACAACACCAAAAAGATTATGTGCTTTATTTCTTGCTAATGAAGAGTTTCTCAAAACATTCCATATTGATATAAACAAATGCAGGTGATTCATTTCAGTGTCTTTTTACTTAAAAAGGTAGTAATGTATATTTTCTCACAGTGACAACTTTTCTGCTGAGATTTTCAGGTAATATCATGAGTTAAATATTTCAAATACTGCTCCCAAGAAGTACAGTCTATTGTCCCATTATATCTCAAAAAAGCTCTCACAGGCTTTTCAAAAAATTATTCCAAGAATATAGTCACAGACTTCTGTTCCAGAAGACAGCAAATCAAGTCAGCAAATCATACCTTTCTTTTCAATTAAAATACACAAACTAATGGAGAGGCTACTGTTTCAGACAAATGTATCAAACATAAGAATAACAGGATCATTCCGTGTTCTTCAGAATTTACATTAAAGAACACGAAGTGGTCATCCTCTGACATAAATCAAACATCAACACTGGATTTAAGTATTTGTTTTTCTCAAAGTATGACAATGACAATAAACGTAACGAGGAAGTGTTCTTATCTCTAGCAAAACAATAAGAGCTTGCCTTTTTTTTTTTTTAATAAAAAAGAACAAGTTGATGTATATAACAATATGACCATGCTATTTGTGCCACTGAGGAATTGTGAACAGCATTCGCAGGACAAATTATTGTTACACACGTGCATTTTTGGAAGTCTGTTCTCAATAGGTCTTACAACTGCATAAAATAAACCAGACTATCCTCCTCCAGAATCCTACACAAAGGAAGTAACACATGCTCAATGGCAAAAAGAAGATTCAGCGACTTGTGAAATTGCCCTCCCTGGCCTCTGGCTCTCTAGCAAGTTCTTCAGCTAAATTTCCCCAAGGTCTCTAGACTAGTTCCAAGAAAAATTAGTTGTTGTATTCCCTACTGTTAGAGATGCTCCAGGAGTCCTACATTTTCTTGAAAAGGCAGCTTAAAAGTGAGGACTGCTGGCATTCTCTACAAAATTATCTCCCACGCCTAGAGCTTTTTCACAGGTATATAATATCCATTGCTGGTTGGTTTCTCACCAACCAGTACCAGTTTAAGGCCCTAGCAGAGGGAATCCAGTGGAGGAGAAAAAGCTCGCCGGCAATTCAGTGTTTCAGCAGCATTGACTGCAATCTACTAAGTGACAGAAAGAGCATCAGTGAGGCACACACCACGTATGGTGGAAAAAACGGAGTGGTGGTTTGTCATCTGATTGCCTAGTAGCCCAAAGACCACTCTTTTTCCTTGCTGTTTGATAACCTCATTTGGTAACTGAGCAGGCCGTAAGTTCCAAGAGTAAAGTTCTTTAAACAAAACCATCCTGAAGCAGAGTCTCTTTCCTAATAGAGCTGTGAAAAGAGTTTAATAGGAGATCTGTTTGATTTCTGAAGGCATTAAAAAAAAATCCTTTATTAATGAGGAACATCACTACCATTATGCATTATCTTTTTCAAGCAGGCAAATTTTACACTGCCGAATCTCCTCAAGTTTCTTCCTGAAGAACTTTCCAGAAGCCAGCAAATTATCTGCATTTCATTTGGCTAGGTAAATGACAAGGAAGAAAGAATTGGAGAAGGGAAAAATTAAAAAAGCCAAAAAGGAGAGATTCCTTCCTTCAGTCTCAGTTCTATCTCCGTCTAGACGCAAGTTCCCACTGAATCCTAGAGCTAGCCAAACTAGCTCTCATTTTATTCAGATCCCTCTGTGAGCTTATTTAAGTCACTAACTTGGCACAATACCCATCACCCCCTTCTACAAAAAAACAATTATTGTTCCTTCAGGTTGGAGTGGAAATAGTTCACAAAGTCCAAAAACCACCAGACGAACCAGAAAAAAAGAAAGGGAGTAGGAATAGGTGGGTAAAATCACAGGAACTAAGGGGAAAAAGAATAAACTGAAACACCACTTTTGGTGGTAAGCAGCTCATCAGATCAACGCTATCAAACTTTTTTTTTTTTGCTACTAGTAACACCATCTCTCACTAGAAGTATTTCCAAGGGTGTCATTTTCCCCGATTCTTTCCTTCCTTTTCCTATTCTCCTTCTACCGCATCATATAACCAAAGACAGGATACTATCCCTTAGAGTAAAATCCAGTAGTACAAGGTAAGAGTAACAGTAAGATACTAAATCTTAAGTCCTTTTGGCTGTAACAACCAAATGAGATATCTGCGACTTAGATAAACTCATTAATAACACATAAATAGCAATACTCAACTATGAGCTAGCCACTGGAGAGCTGCAAGAATGAAACTGTAATGATTGCAAGTTATTTCTCTATTTTTTCTTAAAGATACAGATAAAACAAGAAAATGGTATCATTCACTCATACATCCATTAAAAAGGCTACGTGAAAGCTTTTCAGAATCCTTCAAGTCAGGTTGAAAAAATGCTTTGGAAGCAAGCAGCAACACAGGACTTACTGCCTTTGTAACGCAGAAATGTACACTTTGATTTCCATTAAAAATCAAAGCACAAGCAGACAAAACTCCTGTGCTTCAGATTAAAATGTCTTTTTCTATTAAAATCTGCTACTGTTTTCAGTATTTTGCAAATTATTGAATTATACCTTACGCCACATAGCACACTTGTAACTGTAAACTAACAGATATCTACAAATCTTAGCCTAAGGCCTGTGCTGTTTTGAGAAAGCCATCTTTGTAAGATTCTGCACATCAGAAGTCACAAACGTTTTAAAGCACTTCCATAGCTCCATCAGACTAAGTATGAAGATAAAGACATTACACACATGCTCAAAATATGCTGATTAACAGCATGAGAGGACTCTAAAGCTTCATCTGTTACTAAACTCTCCCTGTTTAGCATTTAGCATGATGCTGTTTAAAACTTAAGTTCAGAATATTATACTACATGAGATGCTTCACGTGCATCCTGTAAAATATTATACTCTTATCTGAAATGTTTTTGTTTTTTTCTATTTACCCACCCATCCCCTCTGATACTATCAAATATGGTACTGGTGTTTGTTAATTTATACTGATTAAAGATATTTTAAAGAATAGCAACTTGGGAGTCTGAGTTTTAGTTTTATACAGTCAGGGGAAAACAGTATAAGAATATAAAACAACCTGAGGAACTCAAACTTCCACTAGCATCCACCTACATTACCATTATCAATCTGAAATATAATGTCTAGCACAAGACTTGGGTGTACCTTATCATCTGTAGGCTTTCAGCATTTGAATAAATTACACTTTCAGCATGATTTAAGGCACTGTGTAATGCTAAGCCAATCCCATAGTAAGAATTTGTTAAAAATAACTGGCTTCAAAAGCTGGATGAAGCTGCAGGCATCTACTATTTTGAATTTGGTTCTTAGCACTACAAATCAACTAAGAACACAAAACTTAAGAGAAAATGCAGTTTAAAAAAATGCTAAGAGCTCACTGTTCCAAAAGATGAAAGACAGCTTCCAAAAAAATGCAAACTTAACAAATTAAGGGACACAGCATCAGGTTTGATTTCACACAATCAAGTGAAGGACAGAAGAATGCAGTACACAACATGCTGAAAATTGATACCAATGGCACAACCTCACCATGACACCAAAAAAGAAGTTAACAAAATGAAGCAGTTATTCATGCATCAGGAATCTTCAACAACCTTGTGCAGTTGTTCTTCAATTTTTAGAAGTTAAGAAAGAACACATGATTAAGGAGAACTAAAAAAAAAGCAAGGATAAAAAAAATCAAGAAGGCCATGTTAGCCATTTCAGTCAGGAAGTCACATGAAAAGGCAGCAAGAAAGGCTTCTAAATAGAAGATGATTTTAGAAAATACACATACCTCTTCAAAGGGAAAAAATTTACAGGTCATATACCGTTTTGCTTTCAAAAATGCTAACTGCAAACATACTATGTAAATTTTAACCATTTTACCATTACTCAATTTTAACAAGGAGAGGGGAGTGTAGGTGAGAAAAGGGAAGAACAATGCAAGTAATTTCTGGAAACATCAAGATATGTTACATTTAAGACACAGTAATGGACCTTACTCAAACTCCAGTCCTTTGGAATGGAAAAATTCATTAAAGTTTTGGGGAAAAACAGAAGCATAATCAATGGGAAAAAAAAAAAACCCCACACACAACAAACCAGATTTATGTACAGGCTTTAGCACCATGTTACCTGACAATCTCATAAGCAAAACACGGAGATACAATGTACTTTCAGTTACAAAAATACGGGTTCAGTAGTTGTTTAAAAAAAATTTAAAGAAAATATGTATATAAAATTAAAATGTGCTTATCGGGGTTTGTTTCAAAATTGGGAATATATTTTGTGGGATTCTAAATTAAGCTATTGCCTGACTCAACTGGGAAAAGACTCGTACGACCTATGCCCATTCAATAATAAACAATTTGGATGACAGAAGAGTTAATAAACTTATAAAATTTGTAGGTGACACCATAATGGTGGCAAATGCTTAGGAGAGTCTCAGACTTCAGAGTCATCTTGGATACTTGACATAATGGTCTGAAATCAACAAAAAGGAAACAATACGGACCAAAGAAAATTGTACTTTTTGGACAAAAAACAAAGGTAGAAACATAAGATGGCGTACAATTGGCTAGACAACAGTACAACCAAAAAAGTACTGAAAATGAGCCACTGCTAAACATGAAACATTACACAGCAAAACCTTTGATTCTTCAACTCCTAACAAATGCAACACAGATAAAATACAGAGAAAATAATTCTGCTTGTCATGGTGTGTTTACTCAAAAAAAACACCCAAAAACCAAACAAAAAACCCCCACCAAAATCTAAACATCCCAAAAAACAAGTTTAAGAGACTCAAAAGACTCATCTATCCCATCCCACTCCCCAAGCAGAGAAGTAACTGTACCTAATCCATCAGGCATTACACTAG